ACCAATTTGTTACGTCTCCGTTTGTTAATTGATTTTTCCGTAACTTTGTTCGGACGAAACTTTAACGACACAAGTCTTTACTTAATAAAACTGGTTTATTCTTTCCGAATATAACTCTGCGATACACTTAATCTCAATATTCGCGCTAAAACAAACAGTATCACGAACGAACGTTAACTTCAACAATACCCTGTGACTGCAGTTCAATTACTCACTGTCTACACACACATTACGTTACATCCCCGCGTCACGTTTTCCCCCTCTTATATATATACCAGACTACCCTATCTAGTAAATACTAGAGCATTCATGAAGGAACAAGATAGTTCTAGAAACTAGAGGGCGCCACAGTAGTCACGTGACTCGCTGACGCAACAATATGATATTTCCTACTTTGAGGAGAACCAATAACAGTTGAAGAAGTATAGGTATAATTATGACATGAATGATTAAAATTGTGGTCTCAGTGAATCTTCAGATTGGTTTCCACTTGAAATGACACACTGTAAATAGGAGAGTGACAAAATAATAAATGCATTATATAAAATCAAATGTAGTACAAGTGGCATGACAGCTAATATGATAGGTACATGTACTTATAGTTCCTTTTTACAAAATACATTGGATTACAAGTTATTGAGTGAATTTCACACCAGTCTCATTATTTGCATTTCATTTGTTATATTCATGCTAGAATATTTGGTGCAAAACACATTGTGGATTCACAAAAATCAAGATGTTTTAATATTGTATTATCTGTAATAAATATACTGTCACTACCATCTCTATGATAGAGAAACATCTTATATGAGGGTTGTCCAAAACGTTTGTAGCTCAACCTAAAACCAAAACTGGAATGGATTCTTTTTTTTTTATAAATATCAAGTTTAAATCTTTCTACGAGTAAACATTAAATTACCAAGCTTATTTTGTGTGTTGTGGATTTTTGATGGAAAGAAGTGAGCAGTATTAAACATCATGGAGAAGATCAAACTATATGCCACATCAAATATTTTGTTAAAAAGAAAATGACACCACAAGAAATCCACTAGGACATGGATGCAATATTAGTGGAGGGTACTCTGACATATTCAACAGTGAAAAGTGATGTGCTGAGATTGAGTGCAGTAGACAATCATGTGAAGATGATTCCAAGGTGAGATTGGTCCTTAACATTAACCACAACAGAAATTGTAGATAAATTTCATGATTTGGTTATATATGTTAAAAGAATTGCCATTAGAAAGTTAGCAGAGGAAGTGACAATCAGTAAAATTACTTTAGCGAGCATTTTTGAGTGAAAGTTTGGGTATGAGTAAGGCTAGAGCCGAATATATTCCAAAAGTGTTGCCACCTAAGCAAAAACGGATCCAAGTTGTTGAAAGCCAACACCTACTTCAAAGGTTTCAATAGATTCTTAACTATAGATGAAACATGGATTCAACCAAGAAACAAAACTGCAAAGTTTGCAATGGAAACACTTAATCTCACCCACCTCAAAGAAGTTCAAGTCACAACCCTTTGCTGTGAAAGTCGTGGTATCAGTTTTTTTGTGATGCTAAGGGCATTTTACTAATTAATTATTTGGAAAATGGTCAAACTGTTACAAGAGATTACTATGCATCCTTGATCAACAACTTGCATCAAAAAATCACAGAAAAAAAAATAGGATTGCTCAAAAAAAGGTGTGTTCTTCCATTAGAACAATGCTCCATCTCACAAATTGTGTGTTGCTTTTAACTTATCCATGATGCTGGCATTGAATTACTCACTCACTCTCGTCACTCACTGGATTTAGCTACAAGTGACTTTTTATCTTCCCTAACCTTAAAAACTTTCTAAAAGTTCAAAGAATTCAGAGAGATGATGATCTTATATATATATATATATATATATATATACTGTCAAGTCATGGATTGATCATTAAGAAGAGTTCTTTCAGAAAATCATGCCTTAGAACACCACTGGCATAAGTGTAGGCTCAGGAGGAGATTATGTTGAAAAAGAAATCCTTGTTGAACCAGTGTCTCTTTTTCTTTATAGGTCAGGCCATGAATGTTTTGGACATCCTTAATAGTGATCAGTAAAAATAAATATTACATTTATTATACACACACACACACAAATATATATATATAT